TTGCATAAACTTTGCACTTTTTTGGGTGAAAAACTTAGCTTTTTATTGGCCGGTATGAAAAACTTAATGTGTCATTGTATTAGGGTGAAAAAGATTTTTTCTCTAAAATATTTTCCCACCTAAAACTATGTTATGTCAATTGTAGTAATAAAGAGTGGTTCATTATATAGATATTATTTTCTACATGGCATATGACTTTTTTAATAGATCAAATAAATATTGTGAGTGCTTTTATTTATATGCACGCGTTTTTTAATACATATTTCCATTTTCTTTCATCTATTTTACTGTAAATGTAAAGGGGGTGTCTATATGTACACCCCTTGTGTGTAAAAAAGGGGTGTACATATAGCATTGCCCTTTGTGTAATTTATTAAAAAGGAGTGTACATATAGCATTGGCCAAATGTAAATATATGGAATGGACCAGCTTTATTATTATATAAATAATTAAGCAACTGGGACGCACCTCAATCTAAATCAGGGTTTGCATTTGATCGAGGAGTCAAGATTCAGAACCTCGTGTTGACCGCACCGCAATTTGTCAATAATCTATGCAAAAAAATAGTTTGTATATATATCAAAAATTAAGTAGTATATAGTGGCGGTTCAAATGTCGCATAAAAATTGTCAATTCATACTTGAATAATTGTATTAAAAAATAATAATGAACAGTAAAGTATGGTACAATTCACATAATTGAGGATAAAATTAATTAAAAGCCAAGGAATTAAGACACAATAAGGCGTTCATTATTTCAGTTTAATTATAAATTAATATCATGATCAACCCATACGTAGAACACTAATAAACCTTGTACACACTAATTTTTGTTTAACAATTTGATTTATATCAACAAGACTTTAATTTATTATCAACCATGTGATACTAAATTTGTTATGTTGATATATTACATCAGAACCGACAACATATAAAACAGTTATTGAATTTATAATCTATTTATAATTTAAGTTAGTCAAATATTTAATAATTTTAAAATCTATTAGTATAGATAAAAGTCCAGTCCTATATGGAGAAAATACAAACTACCATAAATTTACACAAAAATTAAAATCAGACATATAAGATTACGAAACATTAGTAGTTAGACACTTGGAATCAATGAACATCGCATTTGTATATACATAGTAATTTGTGTAAACTTATATGTACTCCGTGCGATGCACGAGACATGGATATTAAGTGTATGTTTGGAAGCACTTTTGTAATGGACTTTTAACTATAAAAGTCCATTTCCAATATAAAAAGATGTTTGGTGTAAACAACAAAATGAACTTTTAAAAAAGTAACTCCTACAAAAAGTCCATTTCAAAGAAGTTTATATTGAAGGCTTCTTGAGAAGTCACTTTTCAAAAAGTCCATCTTGAAATGGACTTATCAATAAGTGTTTCCAAACAAGCCTAAATGAGTTATTTTCACAGTATTGTCCGTTTAAGTCTAAAAAGTAATAGGATTATTATCTATTTTCTAAATATTTTATCAACGTTAAGTCTAAAAAACAATAGGGTTTAAACTTTTTTCCACATCTGACAGAGATATTAAATGAGTTATTCTCACAGTTTTGTCTGTTTAAGTCTAAAAAGTAAGAGGGTTTATCTATTTTCTACCTCTTTTAATCAACGTTAAGTCTAAGAAATTATTGAGTTATAAACTTTTTTTTTTTCAAATCTTTTAACCAACGTTGTCTTTTTAGTCAGAACATTAAATATAAGCATGTTAGGGCTAGTTTGTAAAATAATTAATATATTATCTCACTAAAACATTTAACTAATAAAAACTTAATTTCAGCATATAAATTTATCTCTTGATAGATATAAGAGAAAGTAACAACTTTAATTATTCTTGTTCACCATTCAATATTTATTTATTATTTTAATTAAATTGTATGATTATATTAAAGCGTATTTATAAATTAAATTGTATGATTTTTAAAGAAAATTTTAAAAAAATATTAAAACTACTATTTATGAGTTGCATTTAATGCTGACATATTTTTTGCTACTAATTTTAATAAATATGATGACTCTTTATATAAGTATAGATATTTAATAATATTAAAATAAAACTTGTATATTATAAGTGTATTAATTAAAATATATACTTAAAAAGAGTTTTAGAAAAATATATATTATATTATTTTTAGATATATATTATACTAGTACAATGCTCGTGTATTACACGAGTGCTTGCTAATTTTTTCCTTAAAAACTAAAATTAATGAGAAAAAATAGGTGAAAATTTAAATACTTTTATAAAAGCATATATATATTATAATATTTTTAGTATGACACTTGTTTTGTGTGACTTACTTGTGTTATATTATAATAATTTTTTTAACTTACAACATATAACTACATTAAACATAAATATATTAACTGAGTAATAATTTTATTTTTCTAATAAACTTTAATAAAAATTATTATTTTTTATTATTATAAAGATGAATATAATTTATTTATTTGATATATACAATATGGATGTCAAATCGAAGATCATGAAAAGATGATTAATTTGATATATTATATATGTAAAACTGATAAGAAATACAAAAGTTATCAACTTTTAAAATACATTTATAATTCAATAGCTAATTGAAAGAAACAAATCAAAATTCAGGGATATTTTAGTCACTTAGTGTCTCACTATGTAAAATTATAAGGAATTAAAGGATTATATTAGTACAAATGATATTAAAATGCCTAAGTTAGCTAAATAATATTTATGGAATGTCCGAACCTAGATTATTAATTATTAATATATCATTATTATTTGTCCAAACCTAATTACGAAGCATGATTCTTCGTCAAGTAGGATTCTGAAGCACCAGAAGCAGCCACGTAAGTTCAGCGCATTCGAGAATTATATATAAAGGGGATATAGAGGGGATTATCTGTGCTATAGGATTTACAATAAAAAATCTTCAAAAAATAATTAGGTCGATATATTATTTAAACTTTCAATAATAAATAAAAAATTATTAAATTTAAATGCATATTTGTAATATTATTTAATGGTATTTTATTATTTTCTGAAACATCAATTTCAACACATTACTCCGTTTGGAGTTGTTCCACATCGCCCCGCTGGGGTCGTTTTTCGTTTTGTCTGTGTCGTTGGTTCTTGTGTTGGTGTTTGAGTCGTTTTATTTCTAGCCTGGCTAGCGATTCTAGGCGGACCTCGGTCTAGCCTCCCAATTGTATTTCGCACTTTTGTGCGCTTTCTTTAGTACATCTATCGTTCCGGCCAAAAAAAAAAAAGAAACATCAATTTCAAGAGCATGATTGTTTAAGTTTTAGAAGGACGCGTTTGTATATTCGCTCAAATTGAGTTTTTATAGGTAATGTAGGTTATTTTTTTTAAAAAAAAAAATGATATGTTTAGTTGTTAGCATATTAAAATAATTTTTAAAATAAGATAATTAAAATTAATTTGATATAAAAGTATGAGAGAGATTATATGAAATGATGATTTAACTTAAAATTATGTGAGTAAATGAAAAGTAAATTAAAATTGATATATTGTGTAAGAATTATTAGTTGGTAATATTGATGATATTGTGATTTAATTAAAGTTGAGTTAAATTTTAAGTATAAATTGAATGTGGTCGTGTGGATTAAATTTATTTATATAGAAACACGTTAGTTTTATAACTAAACAGTAACAAATAACATGGTTTTTCATCTCTTTGGCTTGGGGACTACTTGCCAGCAATTTCACATTTCCACTCAAGATTGAAACTTGCAGTCTCTCTCTCTCTCTCTCTCTCTCTCTCTCTCTCTCTCTCCATCTATATATCTTTGCAGCTCATCTCTGTGTATATACATACACATATCTCTGCAATTCAATCGCCGCAATTCTCCAACCTTAGTCATATCTGGAACACGAATCCTTTGCAGTTTTCGAATTATGATTCACCTTGATTCGGCTTGAATTCTTGATTGTATCCTCACGTTACTTCGTAGCCCTCCACAGAACGCATTCCAAAAACCAGAAAGATTACGCCTTTTTTTTTTTCCCCCGTCTGTCGTCATTATTTTCGTCAATCTTGTATAACTCCAACTTGAAGAATCTCCTATTCTGTTTTGCGTCAGGTATGACAATGTCGATTCGGCTATTGTAAGCTTCTATCTAGCTAAAAATGTTATAATTAGGTAAAATCGAGGTGGGCTCTTTCTTTTTCCCTTCAATTTTCATTTTCTGGGATTGATTGTTGCAAAGATTTTAAAATATATATATTGGCTTGCTTGTATTGTTTGTTTGCTTGCTGAATCCTGGTTTTATGGTGATGCTTTACTCATAAAGCTACTTGAATGCTTTTCTCGTGGGGAAGATGACACCAAATAGGAGTCGTTTTGCTCAAGAGTTTAAAACTAAATAGTAGCTTATGTCAAGGAAAGTGCTTTTCAGGGTAACTTGCACTAGAAAAGATTGTACTTAGCTCGAGGGAGTTGGCATTTTTCATGAACTTCTCGTGACATTGATGTTTATCAGTTTTCTTTCAACCCTCCCTCACTGATCCTTTTTCTTCACGCACACATGATAAATTCTGCTTTCCTTTTATCTTCCTTAATTTCAATTTATTTTATTGTTTTTACTGCAGAAAGTAATAGATGCATTGACCCAATATTTTTTCCTTCACATCATTGAGCTACCAGTAAGCACATTTACATCTCCTGTTTTTACAGTTTGACGTTACCTGACTGCTGCTCGTGAGTTCCCAACTGCTTTGTTAACTGTCCTTATTTATTGAGTTCAGCATCATGTTATCCAACCCTGCCAAATTTTCATACTGTCATGTGATTCTTTCGTGTATTGTATCCTTCCAATCTTCTCCGAGTCATCAATTTGCAATACTACTTTCCTCTTTATGAATGTTCATGTGTACATTGTCAAACTCTTGAATTTCAATAGCACTGTTTTGCCCCTTCTTTTGCCTGGCAGAATAAGAAGAAAAAAAAAAAAAAGAGGAAACTTCAGGAAATGGGATGCTTCATATCGACCCCTCAGGACACTGGCGGCAACAGGAGGAGGCCATCCAATATAGGGGAAGTGTCTGTTTTTGTTCCAGGCCTAAGAATACCTAAGCCAACCAATTTCTCTCAGTCATTAGGTGATCATCTGTCTAAGAGCTTGGTGGAACGGCTTTCTGCTCTGAGAACGAGAATAGTTGTTATGGCCGGGCAAGAAGCTCCAACAATTACAAGAACAAGGAGGAAATCTGCCACTCAACATGGTTTGTATTGGATGCTTAAATTTATTCATTGTACCTGATATTGTTTAGTGCTGATGTTGCATTGATTATTCCTGCAGGAGGTTCATCATTATGTGATCTTCTTCAGGCTCTAGAAGATTATTTGCCAGTTCTTCTTGGATTGGTTAAAGATGGTAAACATTTGTTATTCTGATCCACTTTCCAAACCTGGCAAGTTTTTGCAAGCATTCAGAAAAAATGTATAATAATATTGCTGATAATCAGTTAATCACCCCTTCGCATTGCAGGGAGCCCTTTGCAACATAAAGTACAGTTTGTGTGGATCAATCAAGAAGATGAAGTCGAGGTCAAACTAAACTCTCACCTTCTTAAGCGTTTTAACTTTTCTTTTTCTAAATTTCCAGTCTTAAGATTTGTTCTCTTGAATGTAGAGGGCTGTTTCTCATTTGTTCATGGTTATGTCTCCAGGAAACAGCAATGTACAGTGCTTGGTATGAAGTATTATCTGTTTTGCATTTGATGGCAACACTCTCATTATCGCAAGCTAATTTATTGCTTCTTCCAAGAACATCAATTGACGGCTATCAACCAAAGGTATCCGAAGGTAGGTTGCAATGGTTTTATGTGCCATACTTATGTAGTTTCACGTAGTGGATAGCTCATTCCCATTTGTTACAGTTAATATTTGTCAATAGTTAAATGGATTTATATCCAATAGTGAAGAGACATAAAATGCCATTCTCTCAATATTTGATCTGTAAGGCTTCATAAAGTTCATACCTGTGCATTTTAGAACCTATACTCTGTCTCTTTACCTTTTTGGTGCTTAAAATGGGTATTAATGCTTCTTTAAGATGCATCCATTGTTAGAGGCGGATGCTCGGTAACTTATAGAGGATATAAGATCCGACAAGTTGTGAAAAACATAAAGCTACATGTAAGTTTAGAAATCTTTGCTAATTTTGTTTATACACACTGCACATGTCAGTATTCACTAGGAAACAAACTTAATATTGGAAACCGTAAAGTGTATCCCTTGGTGAAAGACAAACCCGTTAACCTGTGTTATTCGTATATTATCTACGTTTATCGAGTAGGACTGCAAGTCTGCATTTTGGTACACCGTTTCCTGATTTCATTGACTTCATCAGATCAAATTTATTGGAAGCAAATTTTATTAAAAAAGAAAAGAAACATAGTGGTGGCCTTAGAAACTTCTTTAATATGCGAAAATTGCTTACTTTAAATATTTTCTAACTCCTCTTTGTGTTGGCCTTTTTCCCAGCAGAGAGCCGCAGATCTTCTATCGATGTCTTTTTAAAGGCAGCTGGTTACCTTGATTGTGCTGTACGACATGTTCTCCCTCAGTTGCCTAATGAACTCAGGTACTTTGTTGTGTGTGTGTGTGTGTGTGTGTGTGCGTGTTTTTTTTTTTTTTG